CATCACCAGTGTAAAGCTGAGGAGAGCTCTGTAAATAGCACAGCTTGGTAACAGAGGAAATGTGCAACTGATTATTTCCTTATGGCCACAAATCCCATCCTGGAACGAGTGGCACAGAGCGGAGGGCAGGGGCATCAAATCAACAAATCACATTTCAGGACCACTTTCGGTAAATGAGGGGGGGGGGGAATCCTCAAAAACTAAACTATAAGGCCTCATTCACTCTATGTTAACCAAAGCCGAACACCTCCATGTGGCGTGCATGCCTGTATTGGGCCGGTCCCAGCAGAGACAGGTGCTGCGTGTGATTGCATGCAGCAGCCTGTTCTCCCCTATGGGAGGATGCGGCCGTACACTCATCTGAACTGCACATCCAAGCGGGTCCAGGTGTCCGTGCTCAGACGCAGACAAAATCCATCCTGTCTGCGTCAGGATACAAACACACCCGGACCCGCACGGATAGGGAAGAACAGGCTGATACACACAGCACCTGTCCCGCCGAGGAAGGCCTCATTCACACTACCGCGCATATTGTACTGTATGCAACATATGCAAATAAATGGCTCCATACACATAGCCGCGTATGGATCCGTATATTTGCGTAGCGTAAAAATGCGCAGAAAAAAATGGAACCGAGATACGTCCGGGCAGCGTATTTCTGCGTATTTTACGCGCATGCGCATGTTTTATCGTGTATACGCACGTCTATGAGTGTATGTGCGTACAGTTCATTAAAATTTCTTTTAGGAATGATGCATTCTGGGAATGCAAATAGTGCACGCATAGACGCTCGTCTATACGCAATATACAATTTTGCTCTTGCGTTGTGTGTGAATGAGGCCGAAAGGCCCGATATGGGCAGGCATGCATGCAGCATGGACGTGTATGGCCCGAGTTAACACATTGTGAATGAGGCCATGAAACCATTAGGCTGCAAATAGCTTTTAAGAAAAATGCAGGTCATACACTGGTAGATTTTCATAGGAACGTTCAGAAATCTGGTCAGAACATTTAATAATGCCATCGGAGAATTGATATATCATTCGAAATTTTGAATCTCCCCTGCCAGCTATCTGAATACCCAAATAGTAACGCTGACCATACAATAAGTGATTTTATAATCTAACAGATTACTCTATCTAAGCTAAACAGCGTGGATGAATTAATCTCATGTTGCGGCTACTAACAGCCAGTGCCCACCGCTGTCAGAATACATGAACAATGACTTCATCCAACGTGCAGCTGAAAAGTGGGTAGCACTTCTGCCTTGTAGTACTAGGGGTCCCCGGTTCAATACCGCTCTGGACAGGGAGAGTTTGCACGTTCTCCCTGTGCTTGTGTGGGTTTCCTCTCACACTCCAAAGACATGGCCCTGTGTGTGTGTGCGCAATAGTGACTTAGATTGTCAGCTCCTTGAGGGCAGGGACTGATGTGAACATACACTATAGGGACTGATGTAAACATGCTCTATGTAAAGCGCTGTGTAAATTGTCAGCACTATACAAATACCTGTAATAAATAATTAGATGGACGACTTATCGAGCTGGCAGGGTCACACACGAAGAATTTTGGCCAATTCCTGCCAACTGGTCTAACAGTGTATTGCTAGTCTAAAGTAGGCAATTCACTTTGAACATTGGCCAGTTCAACAAGGCAATTCACTTTGAACATTGGCCAGTTCAACAAGCCCCTGTCGGCACCATTCTGCCCCAGTATACCTCAACCAGCTGATTGAAGGAGCAGATTGGAAAATTATCAGCCAAATGGAGTGTGCAGCCAATCTGCTGCTAGCTCCATTCAGGTATTCTGACAGCGGCTGCCGTCTTGATGCAATGAAAAACAGCAGCAGGGGATTCCTCCATCTACGCACGTAATCCATTATATTTTCTTCATTCACCCTGCAGGTTGAAGAAAAATTTACTGTGTATACCTGGTGCCAACAGTGCCATCCACAGCGCAAATTCCAACTCATTCACCAGAATTTGGCTGACATTTGAGCCGTGTATGGCCAGCTTCACACTTGTTGGTTTTCCATCCTAAGCAATACAAAACATGCATTGCAACACACTTTGCACCGTACATCAACTTACGTTAAACATGAGTCGGTGAAGGTTCTCATGTATTGGGGTCAGGGTATATCTAGCAGTGGTTAGTCACATACAACTGGACTTGTTTTGTAATGTTGAAGACGTTTTGTAGCCTTTTTAAATGAATGGTCGGCCCATACACGCCGCCCCAACGCACACAGAATGTGTGTACCCCGGTGTGTGCCGTCATACACGCACAGGTGTGAACCAAGGCTTAAAGTGACACTAAACACAGGACCATGGGGAACAAAAGAAGTAGTCATCCTCCAGAAGAAATGACCGGGATGATTTGAGGATCTAAAGCTGAGTGATCAACAAATAAACCGCCTGTTAAGTTTAAACCCATATTTTGAAAAATAACTAATACATTAGAAATGTTTAGTAATGAGAATCTACAAACACATTCTTCTAGATAATTGCAGGTTTTGTATTCTTTGCATACCTAATTTCTCTTTTCTTCCCCAGTCTTCTGACAGTGGCCATTTTTTACTAAGGGCTGATTACTAGATCTCTGGCACATGTGACTAGGACATGTGACAATGCACATCATCTCAGGGGAGGAAAATGCCTTTCCCTGCGATCTCATGAGATTTCCCAGCAATGCTCTGCTGATGACAAGGCAATCCCAGTGTGCATTGCTTTGGCAGACTGAAGTAATTTGCACTTTCAAAGCAGGAAGTGAATGCTCTGCAAGGGTAAGTAAGGGTAGTGTAAAGTTCTGCTTTAAAAAGGGAGAAAGGTCAGCTTTAAAAAAAGGTACCTGAATGCATTTTTAAGATTTAATTCCTGAGTGTAGTTGTTGACGTGTGTTCAAGTGTTACCATCTATTGGAAGTGAAATGCATGTGCGTTAATAACAGACAAGTGTAAATACAAGACTGACACTGCTAAGCACTTGTAAGCTATTTGTGGCATGGATGTCACACTTCCCCTGTCCCTGCAATTACTTGCATCGCTCACACAAGGCACGTATGACCAGAAGGACTTCTGCCTTCTCTCACTTTCCTGATCTGCGGCTGCAAGAATACAGACACCCCCTACCTCCAGGTTTAACATCAATACAACTGGTGTTTTTAGAACGTTCTCCCCACAGGCTGCCCCCCATATATGATTACCAGTTCATTGTTAAGATTTTAGAATTCCTAATGTCAAAAGTTAAAACAGGAGCGGCTATCAAAACACAAAAAAATGTGAGCAGTTCTAAATCATCGCAGCCACAGAGTAGTGATCGTCACAAGGAATGTCTTCCCTTTTCAGAGGCAAAACGAGCAAATAAATGGCAATGTCAGGCACGACACAGACCAAATATCCTTCCAAAGCTACAACATACATGTGGAATAAAAAAATAAAATCACCAGTGATTGAATCTGCACTTCTTTTATAAAGTTATTGTATTCTTATTTATTTGATTTTACAATCTCTGTACCATCTTTTAGATTTACTCAAATCATGTAATAGGTCAAACCCAAACAACTCGTCCAATTTGTATCCGCTCAGGAAAGCCCTACACTACATAGCTGAAGGTACATCTAAAAAGGTGGCCATACACTAAATCCAATGGTACAATATCTTTCCATCAAGTATGTAGTGCAGGGGCTTGCATGAAAAGACACAAAGTGAATGGATCCTTTAGGTTTACCTCTATATTGCAGTTCGGATAAACCTAAAAAGATTGTACGGAAATTGTGTAGAGGATGAGCCAGAATAAAAGTCTGACTGACATCTAAAAAAATACAGATTTTATTTTCTTCAA